CCCCCCCCCCCCAGAAAAAAATTGTATCTACACCACTGACCATACTCAAACATTATATTTATTAGAAAAGGTACGGGGCTGGTACAGTTTTCCCGATTTTGATAACACGAGATATCACTAAAATCAAATTTCGGGAGATCGGTTACGCCAACCTTAGAAAATTTAATTTCCCGTATTATAATAATAATAAAAAAAAATTAATAAGCCTAACCAATGTGGCTAACGTTAAATTACAAAAATTCCCATTTAGATATCTCCATATAATATAAAAACCTAACTACTGCTTATCAATTATAACTACTAGTTATCAATACTAACTTAAGCGTGAATTTATTAGTAATGAGATATCAGCACAAACACAAATTAATTTTTCATAATTCATTATTTCAGTGGTATAGTAATCGTTGACAGTATTCTTTACGTAGATGGTTTACATATATATATATATGACAAAAATTGTTTATATATACTTATCAATAAGCGTTTTGTATTAGTAATTTGTTTTATTCCTTAAAACATTGATAGTACTTAATTTTATTAATGACTATTAAATAAAAAAAATTGTTTGTAATCAAAATTATGAAAATATATTTCTATTTGTCACGTTTTTACTAGTAAAATATATGGTCACCTTAAGGATAGACTAGATGAATTGATAGATTAGGCATTATAGGTTAAATTTTGGGGTTATTTTATATTATAAAAAAAAAAACAATTCTGAACGAAGATGATTTGTCAGCTTTAAATTGTAATATATTTTATTTTAATATCATAAAAATCAAAACTTTTAAAAAATTGGACCACGTATAGGTGATGCCAATATCAACATTTGGTGAAAATTTCAAGTATCTAAAATGTTTGGTTTTTGAGTAACAGCTAAATAAAAAAATCGATTTTGTTAAAAATCGGTTTTGTACAAAAAAAAAAAAAGTTTTTTCCTCATTTTTTTGTTGTTTTTCCCGCCGCATTTGAAAACTTTTGGGAATTTTTACTTTTCACCTGTCCAAAGTACCTCCAATATCTGATTTTCTACCGACAACATACCATGAAGTTCAAAATTGAAGCATTATTTTGACTAGTTATGATGTACACTGACAAAAAAAAAACACATAGTAAAATCAATACAATCTTCACTTCGTTCAGAATCTAAAAAAATTATATTCCATGATTTCAACTTGATTTAAGATAGGTACAAATTAATTTAAAACATAATATTAGTAAATATAAATTAAATAAATAAATACTAATATCATAAATGAATTAAACAAATATTTATTTCTTATTGATTATAATTATGCCATTCTTCAAAACATTTCCTAGGACAAAGTGATTTAACACAGACTTTACATTGAAATTATGTTTTTTTTTTCGTATTTTATTTTTATAGGTATCAATATATCATATTATTTACAAAACAAACAACATCCATATCAACATAACAACAAAAATTCCATCAGAAAGTATAAAAAAAGAACATGTCATATTTGAAATATTATTATTATTATTATTATTACGTACCAAATATATGAGTATACGTAATGGGTCAGACTAATTTCTAGTTTCGTAAAATACCATTAAAAAAGTACTGTATGAGCAGTAATACCAAATTTCGTCAGTTTTGTAAATCATTGTTATAGCAGTAGTGACCAATTGAAGGGTTCAGTATAACAACCAGATAAGTCCACTTTTTCAAATTTTACAGAAGGAGCATAAAACGAAATTTGGTATACATAGAATAGGGATATTAAAAAAATTTCAAAACCATTTTGAAATATAAATATTGACCTATAGTAATATATTACTTTAAAGTAATAGCTTTAAATCATTTTTTGACGTAATCAACATGTAGGTAGTATTTTTAATATAACGTAACATAATAATTTAAATAAAAATTAAATTGGCAAATTTGTTTGTTGATAACACCATTATTAATGAATTTTGATTCATCAGTCGAACAAACATATTTTAAAAATAATGGTTCTTCTTGAATTATTTAAAAATTATTTAAAATTATTTAAAACATAACACCTTTTTTAACAAAAACATTTTAAACTTTATCAAATACTATTCAAGTCTATTTTCTCTTTAGCTTCTTAGCTAATATAATTTAAACAAATAAATAACAGAATATTTTAAATACACCATATTTTTAAATTAGCAACAAAAAACAATTTTAACTTTATAAAATAATATTAAAGTCTATTTTCTCTATAGCTTCTTAGGTAATGTAGTTTAAACAATTAAATAACAGACAAATTAAACAATATATTTTCAAATTAATAACAAAAAAAAAATTAACTTTAGTAAAACAAATACTACTCAAGCCTTTCTTTTCTTTTAGATTCTTAAGCAATAGCATTTAAACAATATTATTAAATAAATAAAATTGAGCATAAATTTGTTGTTCAATCAAGTCTTTTTGTTTTTGCATATCTTCCATTAAACATTTTTTTTTTTGCTTGTAATATATCCAATTCTTTTTTATTTCTTTTTTTCTTTTCCTCTACTTGAAAATGTTCCTCTTTAATTTTTTGTTTTTCCTTTAGAGCTTCTTCATAATAACTGCGTGAATTCCGTAGAGCTATTATAAGTTCTTTGTTTATAATAATAATTTTCATTCCACCTGCATTCTGTATAGCTGAATAAACATGTCTTTGGACAATAAGAGATTCTTCTTTTAAATTTGTTATGAGACATTCTTGTCTTTTTTTTTTAATTGTCACAACAGTTATACAATTTTTTTAAAATTTCAGGTATAATAAAAAATTCCCTGACATTCTGGAGATTCCCTGACTAATAAAATAATTCCCTGACTTTCCCTGTTTTCCAGATTTGTGGCAACCCAGTATAAGTTAAAAATAAACAATTAAAATTTATTTCATAAAAATCTATCTACTGGAATAACACTGAATACTTTATAAAAATGATCCCTAATTTTGTATCATTCTTTGAAAAATATGCAGAATTTAAAAAAAATACCTTTATTAAGTTTTAAGTAAAATACATTTCTGAACTGTAAAGCAGCTAAACAAAAAATTTGGTAAGTCTTGAGCTACCAGTCTAAAATATATACACTTACCTAACAAATCAAATAAAAAAATGTATGAAAATCTGTGTCATTCTTACTCTATGGTCTACACAACTAGTTTTATATTTATGACCAATATATACATATATATATATATATATATATATTCATATATATAACATTCATTTAAAACTTGTATAGTACTAATAAAAAATACAATATATAATTTAAAGATATGTATTGATTAATACTATAAGACATTAGTAGAATCAAATATTAATATCTAAAATGTATTTTAAATTATAGTACATAGTATAAATAAACCCATAGATATTATAAGATCTTATAATATCTATGAATAAACCATGATATAAATTATTGAAGTATGATCAATTAATTAAATTAAAATAATATACGATAAAAATCTAACTTCACTGATTAAAAGTTAACTAAACAGGGTTTTATTTAATAGAAGACAAAATTTCTCAGTATACATTTTTCGAAAAATTACTATCAATTATTTATTTATTAATTTTTATGCTAGAAAACGAAACGGGAATTGGGATTTTATTTACATTTTGGAGGTTGGCATTAGCTTCTTTTTTTGGTTCTTATCATGTTAATTGTTATCAATCGTTATCAAAATCGGGAAGACTGTACCCGTCCCGAAAAGGTACATAGGTGCAAAATGTGTTACTGTCAATGCACATCTTGTCATATTAGTTACATAATATATAATACACTATATACTACTTTAGTTCTTTAGTTTCTTTATTATAAACACATTTGCAACACATTTTGCACTTATGTACCTTTTCTAATAAACAACAATTTGCTTATCACTCGTATTAATAATTGATAAGATATGTAAAAATGAAGCACGCTTGTGCGTGCGGAGCGAGGAATTAGCTGCAGTGATCCGCTCGTGTTACTAAAGTAACTGGAACAAGCTGTTACTTGAAAGAAAAAAGTAACAGTTATTGTTATTTTTTGTTTTTAAGTTTTAACCATGAACATTCGAGTAGTCTAATGTTCATGGTTTTAACCAAAGTTTTGAGGAGTGGCTAAACACAGGAATGCACCATAAGCATTCTGTGCATTCGCATAATTAACCACTATAATAATGTTAAGCGGCCCATACACGGTCAATAATATTAATCAATATTTGATATTGTCAATAATATTGATCGTGTATTTCCAGTATTAAAGGATTGATCAATAATATTGAGCAAATTAAAAATATTTTATTCTTATTGACGTACTCTCAATAAAAATAAATAAATAATTAATTTTGAGATATTCAAAAGTGTTATCAGTGGCTAAGTAACGCAGAGTCAAGGAAAGTCTTTGGCTGGCTGAGATCGATTCTTGCATTATTGTATTTTGTTTTTTTATTAATGGAGTAACTAAAGTTAAAAGTTTATCATAGCATGAAAGCGAAAAACTCTTTCATTCTTAATAAATATTCAATAGTCTTCAAGTTGGTTTAATCGTAACTCAGACAAAAGAATTTCACAACTATACTTATTTCGCTTTTGCAATCTTTCATTAGCCCAAAACCTTGGCTTCTGTTTTTCTTTCTCTTATCAAGAAAAGAAATAGCTAGAGCGAGTGTTTTGCAGTTGTCCGAAAAATGATAAGGACCTAAGAAACGATAAGGTCCGAAATTTGAAAAAGCAGTACCAACTGACTAAATCGAAAATTACCTATTCCAATTGTATAATTTATATTGATAAAAGTTATATTATGATAAAAGTTATACAATGCCCCCGATTTTCAAAGCGGGAAAAATACTAATAGGTTATACTGTTTTCAACAAAAATTTTGATTACTTTTACTTTTTATTTTATTTATATTTATTTTCTACAAAAATGGACCAAATTTTAAACTATGGTAACATATAATTATGTATAACATTAAATCATGGATATGTTTTTCTGATTAAAACTTTGACTTAAATTATTTTAGTAACCAATATAATTAGAGAAGAATAATACTTTTCTGTTTTCGCAATTGTTCTTAATATCCATATTATAAATCTATGTAATATATCATGTATATTTATAAATATCTAGCTTAATATTTAATTTTATGAAAACCTTTCTTAAAATATATATGTTTTTTCATTTATTTTTTAATTTTCTATGTGCTAATATGTAAATAGTATAAAATATTACGTTTCAGTTTTAAGTGTGTACTGAAAAATAAGTAGATAAAAATGTATTATTTAAATATATTATTATAAATTATTTCATATAATTGATACCTGTTAATTTTATATGTAACTAACTAACACAATAATTAAAAATTATACAGGTAATTATATACATTTTTTAAGTATATTAAGAACGTTTATATCGATATAATACTATTAAATGCAAATCATTGTTGTAGTAAATTTACAAATACAATTGTAATACATTTACAAAATCACAATTTATATTTTTTTGGTAATGATGGGAGGTTGGGGGTTGACCCATGGTCATACCATAGTATAAGATTTACAAGCTCCTCAAATTTCAAACTCTTAATGCACCTAATACCTTGAAAAATAATACTACTATTAGTAACATTTGAAAATGCGCAGTAGCTTATAAAGAATATTACTACCGTTTCATGACGGAATAAAATTTTACTAACTTCCTACTGTACCTCAAATAAAATGACTGACTGATTTCATTATTGTCCTATGCCGCACATGTAATTTGTTATCAGTGTCCATTCTGTTTTATTTTGTGACATTACCAGGGAGAGATATGGATGATATATTTCGGGTGAGAGAATTAGGGTGACTGTGGTGATAGGTACCTATGATTCAATGATATTGTTATAAACTTATGAATGTTAGATATCTCAGTTCATTAACTTTTTTATCAGTGTAGCCATGTATATAACTTATTATGTACAATGTATATTTATCAATTAGTTAATCAAACGATAAAACCCAAACAACCAAATGAGTCAATTAAAAAGTTATATTTCTCTCGTCTCTATAAATTAATTTATTTTTGTAAATTTAAATGGTTTTCACTGATTCAAATGTATTATTCGTTAGATTTCGATGATTCACTGCGATGTCGGACCTATCTGAATTTTCTGAAAGACAATATACAAAATCCAATCGACAAATGAATTAGTGAATCAACATTATGATAGTAAGTATATTCTATTTTTCTACTTTCTTTTTTTATTTAAAGAAACAAATGTTCAGTTATGGCTTACGTTCCATACATCCACTTCTAACTGAATGCAATATTAATTATTTAAGTATAGTTATTAATTATAAATTGTTGGTGGTTTATGGGTATCATATAATATTTTTTTCACAGTTTAACCAAGATGTATGAACTATTTCAGTCCCACATTAATTTCCTATGTTAATCACGTAAGTGTTCAGTGTGAGTCTTCTTTGTGGTTAATAAATCAGCAATGAGTGGAGTGCAGTTTAGAGAAATCCATAAAAACTCTTGGTTGAGAAAACTACCAGCTGGTGTTGATAAAAAGTCTGCTTTAAAACTAACTGGTGGACAGAAATTATGGACTGTATTTTGTATACACGACGATACAGAGCCAGTGTTGGAATTCTATGTAGATCAAAAGAAAGCAGCAGCTCATCGCCCGGACAATTCTATACATCTATCAGATACTGTTCATGTTTCTGCTACAATATGCCCATTACCAGTGATAGCTGGTGATCATCAGCAACAGTACCAGTATGAATTCGTCATTACTCTTACTTCAGATATTGTACGTCTAGCTGCTCCTTCATGGTATGTATTCATTCATTCATTATCAATTTTGTCTATTAATAAAATAATGTTATCTTTATATAACCACTTTATATTTGTAGGAATCAGATGATGGATTGGGTTCAAGGATTAGATATGAAACTACGCGAAATGCATATATTGTCTCCAAAAGAAAATGTCTATACCAAACCGCCAGAATCTAGGCCTCCTTTATTACCCACTAGAGATCCTAACTCACCATTACCCCTCCCTCCATTACGTGATTTGCCAACAAATGTTTTACCTGGAGTTGAACCTGTTATTTCTGTAGTTCAATCTATTGGTATGATTAGCCATTACTTTTTTTTAAAGAGTTTATGCTTTAAATTAATGTTGTTTCTTATTTTTATATTAGATAGGGATGAAGGGTCTTCTTCAGAAATTGAACAAATAATTTTAACACCGCCTATTAGTCCTAACCTAATGTAAGTACAATATTGAAACAAAATAATATTTGTTCATTATTAGCAATTTATAGTAGAAATATTTTTTGAAGGCCTAGTGAACTAGTGAATAATATTACCATAGTAGAAGTAATAAATAATCATAATCAAGTATTCAATTTCAATCAAATGGAGCAAGTTTTGAGCCAAATAAATGAGCAATTACCTCAAACATCATCGGAATCAATTATTAATTCTCCTAGGCCGGGTAGATCAATTAATTCTTGTACATCTGAAAATGCAGTATCTTCCCCAAGACAGTCAAGCAGACATCAAACTCATAATACATCTGTTGTAGAAGAATCAGTAAATGGTGCTAGATCTAGTAGTAGTCATTCAGAATCCAATGATAGAACTACTAATGATTTACCACAAAGATCTATGACTGAAGTGCCAAATGAAGGTCTACGGGTTAAAGTCAGATTGACTGAATCAGAAGATGGTTGTCCTAGAAGGAGACCAAAAAGACAAGAAGTTGTAACTCCTACAACTGAACAGGAACCAGCAAGCAATTATGAGCATTTAGTATTACCTACGACCATCCAATCTAGACCTCAACAATCTTCTATATCCAATTTTATTCCTACAGATATTGCAATGTTACCAACAAGACCTCAAGTAAATGTCCAATTACTTAAATAATTACTAACAAATAAAAATATTTATAATTATTGTTTTTTTTACAGCTACCTATTGGTCGAGGTCGTGGTGCTCGCCGTAAAGTAAATAGTGATAGTTCACATTCTGTAGTTGGAGCTGACCGAATCCGTGTTGCAGTAAATAGTAGTAGTCCACGTATGTTACAGCCAGTTCCAACACCTTATATCCCAGTAAGCTTTTTGTATAAATATTAATCTTTACACATATTTTATTAAGTTTTTATTTAATATGTAGACTGAAACCAGAGATTTATTTAGTCCAAGTCGATTAACTGTTCGTGAAAAGCAAGTCCTGCAACTTCGAAAAGAAATGTCTCACCTTGCAGGAGTTCGATTGCAATTGAGACGTAAGGATTGCATTAATTCTATTGCTTTGGTTGATGTCTTTCAAACTGTTTGGATTGCTGGCTGGAAACAAAAGGAACATCCCATGTTACATAATGCGTTACACATAGGTGATCAGGTATTAAGTGTTGCTGGAAAACCTGTAACATGTTCGATTGATGCTCATAAATACATACGAGCATGGCCAAGTCTTTACGTTAGTAACATTTTCATATATATTTATTGATAAAATTATTGTAAATTTTAGTATTTAATTTAATTTTCAGGTTGAATTAATTATAAGACGTGTTCCTTGTGGTCGAGTTTTTGTTGTGCGGCGACAAGAACAAGGCCAAGACCTTGGCATTTTACAAGAAGGTGGTACAGCTGAAATTAAAGATGTATTACCTAATAGTTTAGCTGCTGCTCATGGTTTATCATCTCGTACTCCTACATTAGATGGATTATCACTAACTACTTGGACATTAACTGAGATAAATTCTCGTCCTCTAAACTTACTGTTTAAAGACACTGAAGTTAGAGATCGCTTGAATGCAGTTGGACTAGATATATCATTATTAGTACAACCTACTGATCTAATATCAGCTTTACGAAAACAGCTTAAGTCCTTAAAAGCATTCAAAGACTACTTGTTAGTATAAAGTTTGCAAATATTACTCGTAATATAGTGTTCATAAGACATAATTATATTAATTATGAAATTTGATACTAACTATAATCTATCTGCTAGAAAAAGTATTTTATATACTTAAAATCAAGTTTTATGTTGTATGCTATAAAACTTTATTTTACTTGTTCTAGTACTATATTTTTCATAATTCCAACATTATACTATTTTTTATTAGGAAAGATTATGAATGCTAGGTTAACAGTAGGCTTTAGCATACATTTTAATACTAATTCAGTAAAAATAAATAAAAAAAAAATATATTTTTATAACCCATGATTTACTAATTAAAAAAATAAAAAACATATTTAAATCTGGATATCAGTATATCTTGATGATTTTAAATGATCATTTTCTGTGATAATTTGGGGAAAAATATTGATTAACTTTTTGAAAATGTTTGATTATAATTTTAAGTACCTATTTGTGAAAACTTATATGTTTATTTTAAGCGAGCAATAATGTTTCCAAATTCAACTATAGCATCATTCTAAATAAGGTCTTTGTATACATGATTTTATATTTGTGATACATTTTAAATGAACCCGTAACATAATTTGTGCAATATTATTATATTTTGTTATGTTTTTTTATAGTATGTGTTACAAAAAATTGAATTTTATTGTGTAAATAATTTATTATCAAGTGTTCAATCAAGTCATATAGAAGAGCCAAAGTCCAAAAATATGAGCAATGAGAAAAAATTATACATTCATTTACAAAATCAATTCATATTAATTTGGACTTAGTGTATCGGAAGCTAACAATGTTTTTTTCATCATGCATTTAATATTTTTTACAAAATTTCTTATAGGTATTTTACCATCACTAAACATAAATATTCCACCTTCTTTTTTATGAGTTTAATTTACATGTATTATTATTCATTACACATTTATTGTGATTTATGTTATTACACCATTAATTTATGATTTATTAATATTGTAGTTACATTCCTATTTTTTTTTTTTTTTTTGGTTAACTTTAGTTTTAAAATATTTGTTTGTTATATATTTTCATTTAAATATAAAAATTATTGACAAACCTATGGAAAACAAAGTACTGTATTCACTGACATTTTTACTATGAATCTCAACACCAATTGATTCTAATAAAAATATGACATTGAAGTTTAAATAGTTTGATACATTTTTTGTAAAAAGTATCAAATTAAATCAAAAAAATAACTTATAAGAGCAATTTTTTGTGTATTATTTGATAAAATTTAAATAATGATATTATATTAAGAGTGGTATTTCACATTTTCATTACTGTATAATTTATATAGTTCATTTGGCGCCTGTCAAATATAATATATTTACATACCTAACCAAATATATTTTGTATATCACTTAAAAGAATTTGTATTATATTTATTACTATTTTATTGTATTCATAATTATGTAACACTATTTGTTTTGTGCATAAAGCTGGTAGCTTCATTCAAAGGCCAACAGCTGACCATAAAAGCATAACTTGAATAAAAACAAATGTTTCCAAAATTACAAAAAATTTTTACGATTGTCTATTACCGGAGATTGTGGACCCAAGGTATCAAGGAAGACCAATAAAAAATCCGCAATCTATTATTAATAGTCAACAAGAGCATAAAAAACTAGAATCTTCGTACATAGGCCATAGAAACTATACAATAACATAAATGTTATTATGTCATTAAAATATAATGAATATTTTATACTTGTGTAATTATTATGAAGTTGTAAATTTTGTGGTATCTACTTATATTTATTATATCATTAATATATCGTTATAAACTTAGTATAATACTTTTTCTGTAAAGCTAATAAGTTACATATTTTATAACTACCAAAATTATATGTGATTTTTATCTAAATATATATATGTCATCTGAAATTTGGGGAACAACTATAGGCTAGCGGACACCCCCCTTGAAAAAATACTGGTTAGACCACTGTGCGCCGTGCTGTACAATACGTATTAGCGGTGAATTATTATAATTGTTAATTACTCCATTAAAACGTAACATTTTTGAAAATCTTTTCTTACTGTACGGTGAAAATTTGAGAAGAACCTTTATTCCAAATTCCAAGTTCGTACGTTACGTAGTTTTTGAGATACAGCGATCAGTGAGTGAGTTTTACTTGGATTTTATATGTATAGATTTATAATCAATGATTATATAATATATTTATTATCAGGGCCGGTTTTAGCTCTTTCAGCACCTAGGAAAAAAATGGAAATTTGCCGCCTGGACCCCTACCCGTAAAGACCCCCGGACCCCAGACCCAGTCTTCAGTTCACTAATTTTCATTTCAACAAAAAAATTAAAATAGAACAGAAATGGACCACGATTTTGAATATTTTTTTCGATACTGTAAAAGCGTTGTCCGGTTTAGGCGTGGCTTTTCGTGGTCACCGAGAAAATTTACAAAATTATGAATATCCTGGAATTTACTTGACTATCATTAAATTAATTGTCTATCGTAAATGTTAAAAAGTTTGAGTAAAACTTGTTGGGCGGCAAGTTTAAAAGCTGTGAAAGCCTTAATTCAAAATTTCGGGTGCATTGTAGACTGCCTAGAAAATGAAATATCAAGAGTTGGAGCATTTAAAGATGATATTATGGCTGCTCAAACATTACTATCATCAAATAATTTGTTATGGTGGCATTCAATGCTTGATATATCAAGCAATTAATAATTTAAATAATTTTTTTTGATATATCAATTCTGGGAAACTACAACTACAAAAAAAAATAAATTGATTTGATAATGGCTCAAAATTGTATTTAAACAGCATTAACAAAATTAATAAATCCCAGAAATGAAAAATCTTACAATAATTTCATGGCAAAAGCAAAAATATATTGGGAAAATATGGGTTTGGATCATATAGACTTTCCAACAGTGAGAAATCGTCGAATTAAGAAAATGGCTGGTGAAAAAGCTACTGATTCTTCTTTGGAAATGTTTGATAAACATAGTTATTATGAAGTTTTTGATACAATGTGCAGTAATATGATGTTTTTGGGTTTTTGATGCCTGAAAATTTACAAAAGCTGATATAAGGTGATATAAAAGGTGATTTAGATATCAGTGTCGGTTTTTTTAATTGAGAAATACGCTGATTACTTTACAATTGATCTAAATATGAATTAATTAGTTTTATTGATTTATATTTTTCTTAAAATAACGATTTTATTAACAACAGTCCACTGAATAACTAAAAATGTATCATTGATAAATATTTGATAGACAGTTTTCCAGAGTTTAGCAGTCTTTTTAGATTATTTCTTACACTCCCTGTTAGCACAGCAAGTGCTGAATGAATAATGAGTTTTTTAAAAAGAATCAAAAAAAAAGAACATCGTTGTGCCACTTTAAGTGAAAAAACCTTAAATGAATTCAGTATATTTATATCGAAAGATCGGTGGCAAATAAATCTAGACATTATTATTGAAATATTTACTGAAGTCAGAAGACAATTTACAATTATTTGAATTACCGAATTACATTAGTAAGATACTATGTGTTTAATAATATACATTTTTTTTGTTTAAATTTAATGATAATTTTGATAGGTTATTTAGAAATAATATATCCAGTTTGGACGATTTAAATAAATGTATATATATATTTTTTTTTTGGTTCATTACCTATCTAGTTTAACAGTATTTTAAGAGGGAAGTTGCAAGTTAGTATTTACGACGGTTCATAATTCTTGGGCCATTTATATCGTATGCCGCCTGGGCTTTTTTCCTTAAATCCGCCACTACACGTAGTATACCCAAGACATTTTTAACCACACAATCACTTTTACGTGTGCACTCCTAGCAAGTAGACGTACAGTACTCAGTAACTTTACTTATCTAAGTTATTAAGAGGATTAACATCGTCATTATTCAAATAATACGATTATATTAATTTTCATAAATAACACAACCATATAAATTACAAATCAAAAAGTCGAATTTTAAATAATGAATAAAAATCCTACAGTTATCTTCCATAAATAACATGTCAGATTCTCCAAAAAAAATAATCAAAAACAACGTCAGTTCCAATAATTGGCAAACGGTATCGATGAAATTAGAGAATTTTAAATCCTAAATCAAAAATTCAAAAGCAAATTTTCTTCCAAGTCAGTATTGTTTCTCAGTCATCGCCGAAAATAAAAAAAACAAATCATATGTCCAGATGTATACCCACATCTCAAATGAATGTTAAAAAGACGTAAATTACCCAGCAACATGCGCTGTTTGCTGAGGCCCACTCAGCATCTTATAAATGATGGCCCAAATTTAAAAGTGCAATTATTTATTATGATAATATAGCAGATTGACTACAAACAGAGGCGTGTCTAAGACCAAAATTCAAGACAGGCCTGGTTATAAAAAATTTTTGAAGCTGAACACTACGGCGGTGATCGCCGACCAAACGACGATGGTTGTCGAGTAGTGTAATATCCATATAGAAATATGGGGTATTTCCAAGAAGCGCTTGAGAATTGCTAATAAGTTTTAAGATTATTAATTTTATTTAAAGACAAATATTTATATAGTTTACATTAAAAAATATGATCAATAAAAAATATGGTCATACAATTGCCTACGCAGTATGTTGATGTACTTACATTTTACATTCAGTATTCAGTGTGCTTATATAAATATAATTTTAAAATGCATATTTTGGGTATACTCAAAGGTTAAAAATCAGGGTAGGCCTGGGCCTACTGATTACAAAAGTACAAGTCATAAACAATTGAAGCTATTTGAAAAAAATATACGAGATTTAAAGAAAGTATATTTATTGGGACTAATATACAACAATATTAAATAAAAAAATGAAATTTATGTTTATTTAATTATTTGTTAAACAAGATACACCTTTTGTTGAAATAGGGCCCAAAAGTATAGTAGTATGAGTATAGATAAGATATAAATAAAATTGTACATTATATCAATGATTATATAAACGAGTATATGCAGTCATACTCATAACTCACACAGACACTGTAAAGACGAATCAGCGTGAACATTTTAGTTATAAAATTAAATTATGTGATATTATTGGGTAGAGTGTTTCTTTTTGTCACTGCTAATTTACATATAAAATAACATTTGTTACTTCTCACTACAATAGGTTCAGTTAAAATTTTAACAAGATGAAAAAGCGCGATTTTGTGAATCAAATTTTGATTTAGGATATTTCTAATTAAAGCAAAATCCATAATACACTAAGTAACAATATTTGTATTGAGACATAGATGATAAGATTTTATCTCAATCTCAAACACAAAATTATGAGATTCATTATTTTAATCTGGGAGGATTATGAAAATAATTAGGGTAATAAGCATTTTCCCTTAGTAGTACCTATGTCTTCATTCAGACTTTCTTATTCCTTTTTGTTGTTTTCTAAGTATTCATCCACAGACAAATTTATTGATGAAAGGATTGTCAAATTTATTCTTGTAGGTGAGTTCTTGAAAAAATAACTAAAATAAGCTATTATTATATAGTTTCAGGAATTTTTAAAATCAGGGCACATCATCTTATGTTATTTTATTAATTTTTTATTTAAAGAAACTAAATATCTAAATTTCTTAATGATAATTAAGATAAATAATTCATGGAAGTCATTAATTATTATGAATTATTATTTTTTAAATTTTACAATCAAAAAATAAAATAAGTTAGATATTTCACAATTCTTTTACATCCCTCACCAGAATCTAAAATATTTAATTTTTTTTTTAGAAATAAATGCGAATTTAAAATGTGTTGGTATTTATTATATAAGTTATTTTATTAGCTTTTGAATTTCCCACTAGTTGTGTCTGTGTTTATTTATCTATCATTAAACGAAAACAAACATGACTGATGGGTCACAATAGACAGAGTTATTAATCTTGACATCCGAGTGAAGCAAATTAAAATAATTTATCTGTTTTTATAATTATTTTACTTTATTTACCTTTCAACATTTATTCAGACTATAAAAAGCTTCAAATATGTTTCATAGAACAACTTTTTAAAATAAAAACTGTCATATTGAAGGCATTTTAAACTACTAAGTTTTTTTTGTTATTTTTCTCAGTAATTTACCAAAATATAAGGAAAAACCAGAGGATAATTTCAGAAAATCTTGAACAAATGAAAAGAAGATAATATAAATTTTCTATTGACTTTTTCATTTTTGTACAAGATATGTATTTAAAATTTCTGATGCAGTATACAATTATTAACTAAAATCAATATTAGAAACCAATGTAAAATTCATTATATTTAACTATTTGAAAAATCTCCATTTAGAAATGATATTTTTATCTTTTGTAATTTACGAAAATAAATAGGTAAGTATACAATAGTTACAATTGATTTATGTTAAAAATAATATAATATAATTTTAATATATTATAAAATAATTTTATTATGGTATAAGTTTATAATAGAGATTTCCATGTCATAGATCTGTATCAATAATGAATATACATAAACATGCAAACAAATATATTATATCATGTAAGCATATATTGTGATAGGTAAATGTTTTAAATAATAATCAACAATAGGTTGTTCTGATTAAGCAAAGGAAAATATTATTAAAATTGTTAATTAGACTAAAATTATACGTAGTACAAGTAATAATATACAAAGAATTATACATTTTTTTAAGTCATAAATTAAATAATATTACAATATATATATATAGACACCAATTTAATTGTCACCAGTACACATACAAATTATAACCAAAGATTTTTAAATATCATACAATTTAACCACTTTATCACTAACTTAAATAAAATATTTATAAATATAAATTAACCAAAAACTATGATATATTATTTTATCTTCAACACATTGTGGTTAGAGAAAAAATTGTTTACAATAAATTATAGAAATTCACCAAGTTAAAAATAAATTATAATGAATTTTCAAAATTCAACCAATACCATCCGTTTCCCTATTCAAGAAATGACAAAGTTTTGTTAAGAAAAAAAAGTACAATAAAACTTATGAAAAATTATTTTTATGTGACTCTTTAGCAAAATATTTGTTCAGTGAAATATTTTTATGGAAGTCAAATAAAAAAAGTTAATAAATATACAAAAAAAAAAAAAAAAAAAATAGTATCATCAAGATTCATTGATAATTAAATTATTTGCATAGAGTTATATTTTTCAATAAAACATAATAATAGCTTATTTTAAAATAAATTAATAAAGTTTTTATCAAGGAGTATCTAATTAATCTGATGTCTTTGGGATTAAATGTAAAAAATTGTAAAATATTTTTGAGCAAAATTATAGTAGACACGGCTCCCTGATAATTTCGAGGTGATTTAACCACCAATATTTTTTATCACAGCATTTAATTATAAAAATAAAACAGTTAACAAGTAATTTTCGAAATTACTTATCCTTGTGTTGCTTTGACCGAGGGTTACGGTCAGTTTGGGTCCCATTATTTCTGGGTACAATACTGACACTGCCATCAGGCTGCTCACGCAACGTATGCGTGTATGGCGAATAGGGATTACCATCAGGATCTCTAAGACTCTAAATATAATTAAAATAGTTATATTAATAATTATCGTAAAAAATTATAGATACTAGATCATTTTTTAAATTTGTAAAAATAAAATATATGACTTACTGCAAAGATATGGTTATAAAGTAAATCATATTTGGTCTTAACTCTCATACGTTCGGTCATTATGTATTCACGTTCTTGAAGTAGATTGAACTTCCGATCTTTCATTTGTTTTACTTCATCAGCTAAACTAAGAATTTGGTCTAATTTACGTTTACGACAATTTTGGGCTGCTACCTAATGGTAATAATGATAATATTAATAAAAATAATGACTTATCATTTGAATTTATATCTATAAAAAATATCAAAAAAAATAACGAACCTTGTTTTTTCCACGACGTCTTATGTCTCTGATCAATGTCAACTGGCTTTCAGATAAATCGTATTTGGACAACCTCTCATTAAATTCATCCATAGGCAAATTAATTATATCATCTACGCTAATGGGAATGTTAAGATTCCTGGCTCTTTTTTCGTCTCTAGTTAATTGTTCTTCTTCACTCCTTTTGCAACTTTTGAGCTTGTTACGTTGTGTCCTGGGTCCTTCCGCAGGCAATGCGTATGTGTGATTAAGGGCCACTTGATGTTCAGATGCCATTACTCGTGAACAGCCTTTAAAAATCAATATTTAATATATTATATAACAATCAAACGTATACATTGATATTTCACAGTGAAATAAATTAAATATAATATTACGTACCAGCCATGTGCCGTGAAAACTGCGAAGAACCGGGTACGGGGATATCTTCTCTTACAGACATGTCATAAGGCAAATTTAATGTATCTGGAACGAGACCAACATGATTTGATCTAGCCGTTTCAGTAGCATTTGACGGAGCTAAAAATATGATTACAAATTATTTTTCAGTCATGTAGTAATTTTTTGAATAAAAATACATAAAATATAATACTAATACGAAATAATAAATAACAAAATAACAAATAAATGGGTAAGAACCAAAAAAAAAAAAAAAGGCGTACCTGATACGGGATCTGTCAAACGCCTTCCGTACAACTGGTATTTCTTTTGCGGAGCAGCCGAGTGACTGCGACTTCCCGAATATAAATAATTGTCGAACCACCTCATTTTTCTGGAAGGAAAATTAATAATAACAACTATAATTAAAACCCTGAGTGCAATACACAATGTTTTAATGTGCATAATAAATGTGTAGACATTACAGGTACCATAGGGACAGTTCAAATAAAAGTAATTGATATTAATAATGTTAAATAATTAAAATATACTACATGATAAAAAAATTGTCTAAAATAGTTTTTTAATAAAATGAATAGTCTCATAACAATCAATAATCTAACATTAATGAGAAAGAAACTTTTAAAATGGTCACAATTAAAAAAATATTAAACAAAAACCAAACTATATAAAGTACGACATATGCAGCATAGTATGTGATGTTGGAGATTCGATTGAATCAAGATATTACTCGGTGACAAACCACAAAAGTGCTAGAATTTGTAAAGAGTATTCTATAATTTATGGAGTTCTTAACATATATTAAGTATTTGAATTTATACATCAAGTAAAACGTGCATATTTTTATTTTATAAGTTATAAGTGAAACTCAGTTTTTCATAATTATTTAGTATAATAATAGATAGAATAAGTGTAATCATACTCGCATATTTAAATTTAGTTTTAATATCCAATACAAAAGCCTTAAAATAAATATCTACGAATATACTACCATAAAATCATAGAACATAAAATTTAAACAGTAATATATTTTTTTTAACCTAATATATAAGAATACGGATAAATATGAAAACAAACTTCAAGTTTATAATTTAAATATCTGTTAAAAAATATTTGTAAAACAAAAAGTAATTGTGCAAAGAAAACTATTGAGAATTGAGTTTATTTCCTACTCATATTTGTCAAGCCGACAAATAAATCTCATTGATAGGTACTATAAAATAATGATTAAAATTTAACAGTCGTAATAGTATTTGAATAAATAATTGCATAAGTATTTTTGAACTAATCATATATTTTGTTGAAAATAAGTGTAATTTTGAAAGTTAATTGAATTTGAATAAAATTAAAAAATATATATTTCGGTTTCTGAAAGGATGAAATAACTTTTTTAATTTTATATTAACAGACAAGATATTGAAAAAAAACTAATAGAATGTTTATAACACTAATATATGAATATGATCAAGTGTAGATCCAGAACATTTGTAAGAAAAGGGTAGATATCTAGTTACAATTCCAGCTTCATAAAAAATATATTCGTCCCTTATCTCTCTTCTTGGATCTACGCTTGAAAATCATTAATTTTATAATAAAGGAAAATCACACGTTCACATGTTGGGTATAGATTCGAATGTTCGAAAAAACGATTGCAAATATAACTTACCCGTATTCTTGGTGGGAATGTGATGGGTATCCATCGTTGTGTCCACTGTCCGAATTCGTTTCCATCCATTCGGTATCCGAAGACAAGGAGGGTACGCGCTCCGATCCCATTGAACTAACGGCGCTGTCCGAGTCTCCACCTGCGTTGCTGTTTTGCACCATCGTTGTGCCACTCATCGTGCTGTTATTGTTATTGTTGTTGTTGTTGTTGTTGCAAGCTACTGAGCTGCTGGTACTGTCCATCATTCGTACTGGATACATGCCACCTGAAAGCAATAGAATAAATCAGCATTCAGCACCCAATTACTATAAAACATGTAATTTTTTATTATTCTTGATTTTCCATTGGTTTTTGGAATTCTTACCATCTGCTCCCATCGCCGGATCCATGAGCTGTAAGTCATCGTCGTTTAGGATCGATGATAAGAGTCCGTCCGATGATGGGGCCATTTCATTATTGTGATTCTTAAATAAAGTAAAATGGAAAATTAAATACATAAACATCGTATGTATGGTAAAATCTTAACGAGTATCAAAGTCATAATAGTAGTATAAGAAGCAGTGTTCATATTATTAATTACCTGATAGGGAAACATCATTTCGTGTTGATGGGGTTCCGCCTTGAACGAGGTGGGCTGTTCTGAAGAGCTGCCTGCTAAGTGGAGCGAAGTTGCGACGGCTGAACTCAGGTTGCAATTAGTCGACACACCTGTGGCATGAGAATAAAGCTGTTGTATATCATGAATGATATGATATGTTGTATATATATATATATTTATATATCAAGATTTATTAGCAGAGCCGAATTCGTTGCATTACAGTGATAATTATTATTTTAGTAATAGTATACATTACATTACATTTACAATAGTACTTTAGTATTATAGTATTTATTAGTTGTAGAAATAATAGTTTACATAATAATAATTAGGGTTGGGACTTGTTATCATTGCATATTATCCTATAATATAAATATAAAAAAAAGACATTCCATTTGAGTCAACCTTGTGAAAAGGTTAAGTCGACGATGTTCACAATTCAAAATTTAATAAAATTCGAATATACATCGATGGAAATAAGGGTATGGTCAAATTTTACTTATTTTAGACAAATTGCATTTGGGTTAAAAAAAGGTAATGATTGAACTACACTCGGACTCAAAAAAGGTATTCCAACAAAAATATCCTGAATTTAAAGGGCTTAAAGTTTAGAAAATACTAATTTCCTTTTCTACGTGGTTAAAAATTATTTTTTTAGTTATACTTTTATTTTAATAACATATATATATATATATATATATATATATATATATTTTAAAATCTTAAAATGAATGAATTAAATTATATATAATATAATTAATTAAATCATTAAATATTATTTTTATTAATTTTATAATTTTTTTTTAACTCATTTGAATCAATTTTTGTAGTAATAACTGAATTCAAAAACTCTAATTGGGTAATACGCTTTTGAGCATATAAATTAATAAGTTTTTCAATATCTTTTTTTTTTTTTTTTTTTTTTGATACCATGTTATTAAAGGTTTTATGTCATTATTATGCATTTAAATATAAGTATCTATTTTTAATTGTGATGTAGCGTTCGCAAACATAAGATTTGTAATATTTATAACGTTTTTATAACGACAGTTTTTTTTAAAGATGTGTATAGTGGAAACATAACATTTTCCGTGTAGAATTCTTAAACACGAAAAATATTCAGTTATATTCAATAACACGGTTATAACTATTTTTATGTACGTACACGTTAAAGTTCATAATAGAAATCCGCCTAGTTTTAATTTTTTTTTTTCTTTAACGAGTGCAGTTCAACAACTACCATTTTTTCATCTGAATACAGTTCGACCATTATCTTTTTTCAATCCAAGTGCAATTTGACCATTTTTTTTAGGTAATAAGTGCAATTCGACCATACCGAAAAAAATATTGGGTAAACATTGACAAAATGATAGATGTAACAGGTATATTCGTGTTTAGTGTTATTATCGGTGAAAACAGAAAATAAAGAAAACAGACCAAATAAAATATTTTTGTAAAACACAGAACAACTAGAAAATACTAATCATTCAACAACTTTTAAATTATTTGATAAATCTATGAATATTTTATAGCCCAATGGTTTTAAATATGACGGTGTTTTGTTGTTCTTATCTGACGCGGCTCCTAATACGTATATGATTAAGTCTGCAAGTGAAATAAAAACATTACATTCTTAAATGATTCATACCAATTTCGTATGCAGGAATTATCCAAATGGAGGATGGGGTCCAAAATTATAAATGTTATGTTAGATTATGAAGTTAATAAAAAATAAATGTCAGAATATCCGATTCACACTTCCCCGTTACACGTTTACCCGTATACACTTCCCCGTCCATATTCTATTTATAATATCTAGTAAGAAAAATAAAATTAATATAAAAAAACACCATTATTACCATTGGTTTTTGCAATTATACCCAGTTAGGGGGCAGGCTAAAAAGCTTATAGCCTAGGGTGGCTTTTTTTTATAGAATTAAGTGTTATTATTGACTTATTAGGTATATTTATTTAAATATATATTTTTTTATATTTGTCATATGTATAAACACGAATAAAAATAATTTTAAAAAGTTATAATAATATATTAATATGTACATTGTATGATGCGTATTTATAGGCTATAGTAAGAATACTACAATTATTATTACAATTTCAAAAAAAATTTCATTTGTAATAAAATAATTATAGTTACTAGTTATTATTAATAACTAGGCTTAGGGACTTATAGCTCTAAAAAATACATAAATATGCATGCAAATATGCTTCTAAAATCATTAAAATATACATTAAAAAAAAAAAAAAAAAAGACCACATAGTACACAAAATAAAACGTGTCCATCGGATGTAAATGTATCTTTAAACTCCGAAACAAAACTTTTTAGTCGGCTACTCGTAGACTGTTGTACGTTAAATGTTTCGGCATTACATAATGTTACAAATTATGTATGGCGTTTTATGTATGATTCGATGTTGCGTGGTTGGGAGACGCAAAAATAACGACGGATAATAATCGACTGAACTGAACACTAAATAAATAATCTATTATTCTATATCAACTATTATCTTTATCGGCATCTGGTCGATATCCAGATACGATCGATACGGGTTTATAGTATTATTTATACTTACACAAAAATTATAACGAGATATGTGAGGTAGTTTGCAGATAGCATATAATAAAAAAAAATATTAAGTACATTTTTTTTTCAATCGTTTGAAATATGTATAAATAGTTATATGTATCTATAGTTTTTAATTTTAAATTTAAAAAAATTGTCAAAATATGCAAAAATATGCACATTCAAATTTTAGATCTGATATCATGATACCGAGAAACAAATTTATTTCGCACTCTGCTATATTTAACAATAATTAAAAAAAGTATGCAAATGCTAGAAGTCTCTAAGCCTATTAATAACTTATTAGTACCTATGTACTTATCGGGGAACATCCGACTATCCAAGCATAGGTATTTTCATATTCGGCTATTTATATTTCCGTTATGTGACTGTATAAGCATTGTTTATTCGGACTGGTAATAATGGTATATGAAGTAAAATAATAGACATGAAGAGTAGGGTTTAGACAAAATATTGTTGGTTCCTTAGTTAAGTGATAAGGGGGGGGGGGAGCAGAGTGATTAAGCCTAGGGGCGCCAAAACGGTAAATTCGCCACTGCTTATACTTAATAAATCAAACGAGAGTAATACTCGAGTTTTACGAGAACTTTTGATTTTGGAAAAAAATTTAAACCCGATTAGTATAATGACTGATTTTGAACAAGGTCTAATTGATGCATTTACTAATGTTTTTCCTGGTACACAAATAAGAGGTTGTTGTTTTCATTTTGGTCAATGTTTATGGCGAAAAATAAAAAACCTTCCAGAAATACGTCAAAAATATATGAATGATGCAGACCTTAGCTTGAAAATAAAACAGCTAATGGCTTTAGCTTTTGTTCCAGTGCCACATGTAGTGGATAAATTTGATAAATTAATATCTCAACAGCTTTTTGCAGTCAATGAAGATTTATTAATCCATTTAATTGATTATTTTGAAGAGACTTGGATTGGGAGACCAACTCGAAGAAATATACGATGAACTCCAATATTTGATTTTAAATTGTGGAACCAATACGATGCAACACAAGCAGGTTTACTAAAAACAAACAGTAATATTGAAGGTTGGCATAGAGAATTTTCGTCTTTGTTAGTTCAGTCTCATCCTACTATATAGCGACTTATAGAAGTTCTTAAAAAAGAACAACATTTAACTATAGTAAAAATTAATCAATTTATTGCTGTACAGGAACCTCCAGCAAAAAAGAAAAAAATATCGAGACAGGGCCCCCACAAGGGGAGAGGCTGATGGACCTTGAGTACAGGAGCTCAGCTATTTTAAGGGCTCGTGGGCCCGTTGAAATTTATTTGTAATTTTTGAAATTTTAATAGAAATACTTATTTTACATTAAATAATATTGTAAAAATATTATATATATATATTTAGTTATTTTGATAGTTCAAAATGCGAATTAACCAATGATTACATAAAAATTATCTTGGTTGTAGTTTGCGTCTTCTTTATCACTTGTAAGTGATATTAAATTATTATTACCTTTTATTAGATTTTAATACCTAGCATTCTAGCTCCTAGGCTAGATTTAATCATTATTGTGTAATACATCGCATTGTATACATCGAAATCCGAATCGTTGAATCCGTGAATTTATTTGTCTCTTTTTATTATATTATAATTGTATTGCATTCTTTGTACATATAATAATTAATTAATATTAAATAAATCAGGTGCTCTGAAACGTAGAGAAAAATTAGAAAAAGATGCTAAAGAAGTAAAAGGTCATGTTTCTATTACAAATTTTTTTAAATCAATAACAATTCACAACGAATCAAGAACGATTAAACTCATTTGCTCTTTTATCTATGGAGAATGAATTGGCTTCGACAATCAATTTTGACGATATCATTACTGAGTTCGCTGAGCTCAAAGCCCGCAAAATAAAATTTTAACTTAAAAAATATATATTAAATATAAATTAAAATATACTTGTTTTTTTCTATTTTAATTTAAATAATATTGTAATAAAAAAAAAATAAAAGACATTATTAATGTTGAAATGCTAATGAATCTTGAATTCGAATTGGTATAATGAAAAAACAAATATTATTCCTAAAATTGTTATACATATATATATAAATATATAAATAGTAAATTGTATTTTTGGAAGTTTTATAAAGGGTCCGGACAAAAATTTAGTATAGGGGCCTGAAATTGTATGAGGGGGGGGCCCTGTAACGAGATGTTGCTAGGTGTATAGAAAATATTGTGTCTACATATGATGAACGTGATCTAGATGAATACTTAAACGGAATCGCTCATAATTTAGAACTACAACATTAAAATATTTTATGGTAATTTTTTGTAGTTTTTTTTAATTAATTATATTACACATATTATTATATTTAAATGATCTAGGTATAGATTGAATATTTCAGAACTAAAAAACAAAACAATAAAACACTTGTTTTGTGTTTTTTTTAAATTAATTTTATTATTCTTACTATGTATTATAAATATTATACAATATGGACGTGGAAGTGGATACGGGAAATGGCAGATGGGGAAGTGACCAGATACCGAATATCTATGATAAAAAATATCAGGAACGAAAATCAATAAATGTTAACAAATGTCTGAACAGCTTGAACATTTTTTTTTTATTGAAATTAAAATATATCAACATATTGAACAGTTTATTACTTAGTGAAAATGCGTTCTATTGATAGCTGCACTTACAACGATAATCATATAGATGGAAAATTCGTTAAAATTCAAAAGTGTATCAAATTGAGAAAATTGGTACTGTTAAAACAAAAATAGATAACTATGTATTCATTTTTAAGTCAATTTAACTTTAATAGAATGAGAACTATATTCTTAATAAAAAAGTATGTAAAAAGATCCTTAATGGGCGTAGAACCTCACACGAGATTGGTTCACACCACATGTCTTATTCACAGACTACACAGAATGGCTGAAACCATTCGTATTTTAAATCCTTAAGTCGATAAAATGATTGCCAACATAAAAAAAAAAAAATCTTTAACTTCAACTTGTTTTTAATTTTTTAAAGATATTGCCTCATTATAATCAATGTCATTTGAACCAGCATTAACGAGGTGAGATTCGTAGATTCAAGTATCCTTTATTACTGCGAATATTTTGGGATTGTAAACTCACTTAACAAAGAGATTGCCAGAAATACACTGTACAATAACATATTCAAACTCAAATTGTATTTATCAAATCTAACTTTTCATTCTTACCAAACGCCATTGTTTGTCTTGAAAAACAATGAATGACACTTGCTAGACATATTTCGGTAGTAGAGGATGCGAAAATAAAATTACTCAAATCACAAAGAAACATTGCTAAAAACTAAAATTAAAACTGTGTCGGAGAAAAATGAGGATTACAATTTGTAATTAATTAATATTTATCGTTTTCTAGAGACCAATGAAGTTTCGAAAGTCTACCTGAAGATTTAAAATTAAATAACTGGGTACATTTTAAATATGTGCTGATAACGTCAGTGGATGTGTAACTCTTATTAAAATTAATAAAAATTACTTAATGTGGTTTTTGTGCTTTTTAAAAAAATATCTTATGGGATAGACCAACTTTACAGATGAATAATTTATATATTTTAAAAAAGATTTAGTTTTTTTTATGTACATATATACATATAAGTTACATAAGGTTATTATAACTTATGTAAACTTTCAATATCTGAAGAAATTAAGATAAATGAGACTTTTAATTAATTAATATACACTATATGTATATATGGATAAAACCGTTAAAACCCTTCATGATTCACAAACAGCAATGCATTTATTTTGGCCACTATTTTTATAGCTTTTAAAGTTAAGATTAATAAACGAAAATATATTAATGTGTTCATATTCATGTAATTATATTTTAGAATCAAAATATAAAACGTTAATGATGCACAAAAATTGTGGACTTATTTTATTCATATTGAAAAAACTTACTAATATATATATATATATATATATATATATAAAAAAACATGTCTAAAGTATAAACTTTTGTGCGTACATTTCTATATCTATCTATATTTATAGAAGCAGATTTAACCCAAACTAAAATTTGAGTAAAAAAAAAAATGGTAGTAAAAGTACCTAATAAGGTACTATTAATAAGGGTGAAGTTAGTGTTACGAAAAGAGGAATATTAGTATTTTATTAGTTACTTTTACTATAATTTTTTTTGCACCAAAATTTTAGGTTGGGTCAAATCTGCTTTTATAAATATAGATAGATATTGAAAGTTACGCACAAATGTTTATACTTTAGACATTTTTTTTTTTTATATTTATTATTAAGTTTTTCAGTATGAACAAAATTACTCATATTTGTAACACTGACTTCACCCTTATACAAAAATTAAAACATTTTATAGCATAACCAATGAGTAATTATATTGTGATGATTCAATTTTAAAGTTGAATTAATCCAACGTTTGAAATTACTAATTTACATAATCTATTTTTAGCCAAAAATTAATGAAAATATACGACTAAAATAAAATATAAAACACAAAGTATAAAAAAAAAAAAATCGTTTAAAATATTTAATATTAAAAAGGAATTTCGTTGAAAAGATAAATTGTATTCAACTGGTATAACTAATTCATACATAGTTTAACATTTATTTTTTTATTTAATTCAATACGCTGTATCAACATATAAAAAGTATTTCTAGTTTCTTATTGATTATATTGTCTCGAGAGTTTACATAAATGAGTAACAGCCATAACAAGTAAACATTATATAAATGTATAATCAGTTTTAAATATATTAATATTAATCATACCCCGGTTTGACGTACGCAAAATATACAGGTTGTACCACATAGATAGTTTATGGAAAAACAATGTGGAAATTATGGATAAACGAAAACTTACCAATGGATGACGAGTGGTGGTGATAATGCGACAGAGACGAAGTCGAAGACGATGTGGCCACGTGGTTGTTACCCATATTGATAGAAGTCGATGGTGGCGGCGGCGGAGGTGCGCAAAGACTAACATTCTGTAACAGCACGTTGTTGCCGGTATTGTTGTGGTGATGATGATGATGGTACATGCTCGGTCCGGGAGGGTAGTTGAGCGTCGCGTTGGACGAGTGCTGCCCGTAGTGATGCTGGTGATGTTGTCCTTCGCCTGGGAACGCCAACATCGGACTGCATGCCAAGTCCTGCCAGCCTCGCTGGTCCATACCGTTGCCAGTTCTTGTATATCCCATCCTTCCCTGCAACCAAGTAGACATAGGTTTCGTTAGTAAAATATTCATTGTTTAAAATAAAATAAAAACGTTTTTATGATCAAATAAGTGCTGTGGCACTGCAGTTGTAGTAGGGTATTCAACGCAAGTTGACGATATCGAAAAATCTAGTCGTATAAACTATATATACTCAATGCATACACTTTATATAGACAGACGTGTGGGCAATGTAAACATAGGACCCAATTAAAACTAGCCCATATGAAACGTAACTTTTAGAAAACTTATAATTCATGTCAAACGTTTATATTAAGCGTAATTGATTTTTAAACTCATCATCCAAAAATACCGGGAATGAATCTAGTCATCGAGTTACCACACCCAAAATACAGAAGCGCAATATATTCCAAACCAGGACTGGTGGTTAAAAGCGCAGCCACCAGCCATAGAAAAAAAAATCTAAATACTAACTATTGAGTTAGGAAATTGTACAATTACTTCAGTGTATAAACCGTCGAACATTGACTTCACCTTCAAAAAACCGATCAACTTCGACAATTGTGATACAAAAATAGTTTTTGGTGATTTCAACAGCCATAGTACCACATAGGGATACCTAGAAAACGATCAAAATGGAGAAAACGTGGAAAATTGGACTGAAGCTGAGGGGTTGTCTCTGATTCATGAATCAAGACTTCCCTCGTTTTTTCAATAGCGGCCGGTGGAAAAAAAGCTATAACCCAGACCTAATTTTTGTCAGTGACAAAATTAATGCATAAACCGTAAAAAATGTATGTGATCTCATACCAAACACTCAACACCGATCCCTAATACTAAGCGTTGCAGAAGTAGTGAGATCACAAACAATACCCTTTAAAAAACGGTTCAACTTTAGAAAAGCGAAATGGGAAAAATGTAAAAAAAAAAAAAGAAACACTAGATAAAAAAATATGTAATCTAGACCCAAAGCCAAAGAACTATGAGGCATTCGTAGAAAAAGTGAAAAAGATTTTTGGATTACATATCCCACGAGGCTGTAGAAAACAGATGCTGAGACAGTGAGCAAAATAGTTTTCAGCTTGATTTGACTATTTCCGAATTAAATGAAAGCCTCAAAGAGATGAAAAACTGCAAAGAACCAGGGCCGGATGAAATCATAACAGAACAGATAAAACAATTCGGCACAAAAACAAAACAATGGTTGTTAAATTTCGAAAACTCTTGTCGCGATAAGGTCTTGGTACCTAAAACATGGAGAAAGGCACAGATAGTCCAAACTAGACAAAGACTATAAGGACCCTAAAAACTACGAACCTATATCTCTACTCTGCCATTCGTTTAAATTGTATGAACGAATGATTATGAACCGTATAAAAGAACAAGTAGAAAGAAAACTTATCACCGAACAAGCTGGTTTTAGGCCGGGTAAATCCTACACAGGACAGGTACTAAACTTATGTCAGCACACTGAGGATGGTTATGAGAACAAAAAAGTAACAGGGGTTGTTCTTGTAGATCTAACTGTAGCATATGATACGGCGAATCACAATCTACTACTAAAAAAGATATATAAATGTACAAATGACTGGCACCTAGTACAAATATTATCTTTTATGCTACGCAATCGACGATTTACAGTCACGCTGAACAACAAATAAAGTAGATGGAGAAATCAGAAAAATGGTTTATCACAGGATAGCGTACTAGCGCCCATGTTATTTAATATATACACCAATGACCAACCGATCATACAAAAAACAAGGCATTTTCTTTACGTAGACGACTTAGCCATAGCACTACAGGACATAACATTCCAAGAAATCGAACGTAAGCTTATAAAAACTCTTCAAAAGTTAACAACGTATTATGCGAGAAACCAATTAATGTCCCCTACACACAATATGATCTGGTCAGTCCGACAGATGGCCTGACCAAATCAGGTGTTGTGTACAGAAGACACGATTTGGTGAATCTGCACGACTTGGTCGGATATTTCCACTAGTTCGGTCATTTCCACTAGTACAGTAGTATTCTGCGACTACATGACGATTCACTTTCGTTTAACTATAGTTTCATAATCACAAAGACAAATTACAATAAACAACGTAAAAAAGCCGACTGATAAAAAAAATCCGCCCCACGGTATTACACACTATATGATTCGGTTGGCCGATTAAACAGTCGGATGGAACGGCCACCTGACAAAACCCAACAAGATCATATTCAGATGACACGTCTACACACGACCTGATATGACGCCCGACCAGATCAAATTATCCTGCCGTCCGACCAGATCATATTGTGTGTAGGGGGCTTAACATCAAACCCGGATAACACACAAATATGCTGTTTCCACCTCCGAAATCATGAGGCGAAAAGAGAGCTCAAAGTTAAGTGGCTTGGAAAAACACTGAAAAATACAGAACAGCCAGTCTATCAAGAGGTTACATTGGACAGAATTCTCACGTTTAAGGAGCAGTGTAGAAATACAAATATAAAAATCCAAACAAGGAATTATTTATTACGGAAACTAGCAGGCAGAAAGTAGGGTGCCATACAATTCAAACTACAGGACTGGCATTATGTTTTTCCACTGGAGAGTACGCCTGCTTAGAGTGGAACCAATCGAAACATGCTAAACACGTTGATACGGCATTGAATGAAACGTGTAAATTGATAATTGGATGCTTCAAAGCGACGCTATTAAAATATATCTATCTATAGCGGGGATTATTCCAACAGAAATACGGAGATACGTGGACATATGTACTGAAGAAACAAAAAAAAAACTACTGACCAAAAGCATCATATGTATGGTTATTTAGAACCACGAAGAATCAAGAAGTTTTATTGCTAAAACAAATGTGATCTAGGATCCACCCGACCAGATCCCATTACGTAAATGGATAGAAGAACTAGGAGCTGAAATACTTGTGCCGCCTGATGAATGACTACCCCCAGGCGGAAAGCAACCATGGCCCATATGGAAAAAAATAAATAGACTAAGAGCCGGAGTAGCTAAGACAAGAGTCAACATGGTGAAATGGGGATACCAAGAAGAAGCTGACACTTGTGAATGCAGTGAGAGGCAATCCGACGAACAACTAATAAAACGTGCCCTTGCCTCGCCAGGATGCACAATTGACGATTTGGCGATTGCAAATGAAAACGCTAATCAATAGCCACCTACTGGCTAAAGAAAAATATTTTGCACTTTTATATTTTAATGTTTATTTATAATTTAATGCAATTAGCATTTATTAAGTCCAGCACCGGACAGGATAAAAAGAAAAACATATTATATTTTTTTGCTATAGTTAATAATTAATAATATACTCAAGTAAGAAAAGAACAAACTCATTTCAATAGTTTAACATCTTGATCGTTAGCGAATTATTATGATTTATAAATATGTTCAACACTTAAATGTATATTCTTTAAGGATATCGCTTTTAATACGAGTAAATATAACTTTATTTATTTATTTATTTATATAAAATAATCTGTAGAAACAAGCACATTTAATAATTTAGATGAAGTATTAACACATAACATTACGAACAACTTTTAAGGAAGTCACCTATTGGTGAAACTTATTAGTAAATATATCTAGAAACAAAAATTTCAAATTGATTTCTTAAAGAAAAAAATCCAATTGTTACATAAGTTAATATATGTACACATATATAAAGGTAAAATATTGAATATAATTAGCAATTATTATATAACTTTCACGTTTTACTGATTTGGTATGATTATATTAACTTAGGTGTAAAACAAAGGAAATCGATTGTCATTACTTATTATATTATTATTGTAAAACGCAGTATGTTGAATTTCTAAATCATCTAAGATGCAAAGTTACAAATTACTAAGATATTATGTATAATAACTAAGTAATAAAAATATATTATTGCTACATTAAAGATAATAAGAAATAAAATTGTAGTCATTGTAGTTAATTATGCTCACTTAGAATATAATACTGTTATATTTTTAATATTACTTTTTTATATTCTATTTTTATTTTTTAATATCTAATAAGTAAGAAAATTATTAAGATAAAGAATTTTAAATAAATAATATATGACGTAAATCAGTAAAAGTTAAAAACATGTAAAAAGAAAAAAAACTCATGTTTATCATAAAAATTTTGTGCAATTATTAGAATACATAACACATACATTTAAAAGAAATTAAAAGTTGTATAAAGTTAACTTAAAAAATGATTTTGCACAGTATATTTTATATATTTTTAAAATATTTATTTTGAGAAACACTGTCTTTTTCTATAGTACATAAGTAAGAAGAAAACAATATTGGCAATAAAATGATTTACTACATTTTGATCGACCAAATTTTATCGACTTAGAAATCCGTCCCTTCCTTATGCTTAATAAATTAGTCATTCGCACTTTTACGGTTATTAAATATTTATAGGTACGTGTTAAACTTCGAACGGATATCACAAATATATTATTTTTTTATTACCGTATAAATGAATTGTTAAATGGATTATCATATGAGAATAACTCTTGTTACAGACATCTTTTAATCAGTAATTATAAAGTAAATACAATCTAATCTTTACTTCTTGATTCACGTAGGTAGCACATCACAAATTATATACATAATATATGTACGAAGAAATAATAGTATCAAAAATTAATAACTATTAGTGTATTTTTTTTAATAGTTTTTAATAAAAGTATGAGTTATTGATTTTTTTTAAACATGAGATTATTATTTAGATAAATAATTATGGTATATTTTGATCCTAATAAGAATGAAATTTCAATAAGATTTGAGCAGTGTTAACATTAAAATATAAAAATTAATCATAAAGTACACAGGGAAAACATATGTATCTTCAAATTATTTGTTTATTCTATATTATACATTCGAATAAACCATGTTCATTTTTAAAACTGACTTTCAAAAACGTATCTAAATGGCATGCTAAATAATTCTATCACCATTACATTAATACTAATTACCACTTAATACTTAATATTTTAAAATAAAAA